CATCGGGGTCCAGCGCAGATCCAGGGAACCCGTGCGGACCGTCGACAATGTATGTTTGTAAAGTTGGTTCATCCTCTGTTTTACAAAGCTAAATTCACAGAGTTCTTGAAGGTACGCGTGCACAGACCGCTCAGTATCGACGGTGTTCTGGCGGATTGCGGCCTGTGTTAGATTCGTGGGTCTCTCATTGTGCACGCGAACGTGTTGTAGGGGGTTCCCCTGCGTCTTTGTTGACGGCGTCGTACGCAACACGCGAGCCATCCATCTGATCAGAGTCCCCAAGTGTTTTGGAGGAGGGTGGAGAGACACGCATGAGTTTCACTGGACAAGTCGGGTCACAACAGCGGGGAGACCACGGTCGAAGCTTTCATCGGTGTGCCATGGGCACGTGATTTCAGACCGTGGAATCGAGCTTACGTTGAAGAGTGAGAGAGAGGGTATCCACATGTATATTTATACATCATTTGTATGTATGTATGTATGTATGTATATATATATATATATATATATATCAGCGTGAGGAGGGCCGAACGGTCATTCTCTGTCCCTGTGTGCGCGTGGCTCAAAGAGGAGGCGGTGCGCGGGAGGGCGCGCGGGGAGGGCGCGCGGGGATGGCGCGCCGGGAGGGCGCGCCGGGAGGGCGCGCCGGGAGGGCGCGCGGAGAGGGCGCGCGGGGAGGGCGCGCCGGGAGGGCGCGCGGGGAGGGCGCGCGGGGAGGGCGCGCCGGGAGGGCGCGCCGGGAGGGCGCGCCGGGGGAGCGCGCGTGGAGGTCGCCTCCCGCCTTTCTTCCGTAGCCGTCTCGGCCCGAGCATGGCACCGAAGGCGCGCGCGAAACCCAAAGTCCAGCGCCTCGTGCGCCATGGCGTCCCGCGCGCGCCCAGTGGCTCCCAGTCTGGCTTGCGAGCTGCCACCGCTGCGCGTCGCGAGTTGCATCATGACGGAACGGGGGCCTCAAGGAAAAATGTCCCCCATTTCTGTCGCCGTTTTCGCCCTCCAGGGTTTCCCCGCGCGCCCTCGGGGTTTCAAACAACGACCTTGGGACCTTGGGAGATTCTGGGGTGCAGGACTGCAGGACCCGTTTCCTTGAGGACCTGTTTCGTTCATGCTTTGAGGCTCTCTTGGCACGGCCAGGTGCTTGGCACGAGTACCCAAACTGCACGGCTGCCGTGCGCGTGGCTGCCGACGTCGCGCCGACCAGTTGTATTTCTTGCCCGGTGCGCTCTGTGCGGGTGAACGCTGGCGTTCCGGTGGCGTGCGACTTCAAAACCAAAGCCCAGGCTTGGCGACTGCGTGCTGTTGTTCCAGACGACCGCGCGCAAGCGCGCACTTCGGCGGTCCGGGAGTGCATCGTCGACTTCGAGACCAAGCGCTTGGCGGGCCAGCAAATCCCAGGGGGCTTCTGGACTGC